GGCGCCAACACATTTGAAGAGCTCTGTCATTCTTTTCCTCGTGCTGGACCTTAGATGGGAGATGCTGCTGCTCAGTTGGATGAATTACACGTGGTGAGATTAACGGGGACCCGATAGAGTAGGTGTTTCCATCTTCTGGTGTCTTTGTCCATTTCTCCCTTCAGTGTTCTGAAGTTATAGAGGTCTTTCACTTCTTTGGTTAGGTTCATCCCAAGATAGTTTTTGAGGCTATTGTGAATGGTATTGTTTCCTTATTTCATTCTCTGTGTGTACATTCTGGGTATACAGGAAGGCTACTGATTTTGGTGTTAATTTTGTAACCTACTATTTTGCTGAGCATGTTTGTAAGCTGTCAGAGATTTCTGTAGTCTTTAAGGTATATAACATCTACAAATGAGGACACTTTGACCTCTTCCTTTCCTATTTGTATCCCTTCTATCGCCATCTGTTGTCTTATTGCTCTAAGTCTTCAAGTATTACATTGAGTGGGAGTGGAGAGAGTAATGGGATTAATCCACAGAGTCTATTTAATGATCAAAGGAATTTATTGGGGGTTAACTCACAACCAGAATAAAGGAATTGGTCACAGAATCCTGGAGAGGTGAGCCACATTCCATTGCAGTTCTCTGGCAAGTTCTGCCCTGGTCTGACCCAGCATCTAAAACCATGAGGTCACAAAGTCAAGAGACCGTGGGTACGTGCATCCCGGGTCTTAAGGATCCCCCAGTGGCATGTACCTCAAGGTCACAGGCAGGTGTAATAGCTGCTACCTCACTAGGGGCAGTGCTCTAAGGCATGGCTCAAACAGCTTCCTACTACAAGAGAGTGGACTTCCTTGTCTTGCCTTGGTTTTAGCAGGAATGCTTCAGGTTTTTCCTTCACATGGCATGATGTTGGCTGCTGGCCTGTTGTATAGATAGGGTCTTTATTATACTGAGGTATGTTCTTGCCTCCATAGTCTCTCTAGGACTTTGATGCTTGTCTGCAGTTAATGGGCTAAAGGTCTTGCAAAATAAAATGGGTGAACCTTGCTGGGCTCAGTGGCACACCCCTGGGCTCAAATGAATCTGTTCTTTCCAGAACATCCCAAGCAACATCAGTAAAATTCTAGTCTTTTCTGAAAGATATTTCCAATAATTAGGTATTTTCAAAAGATCATGTTATGCAAAACAAGTCAAATATGAAGGAGCACTGTTTAAATGCCATTTCAATGCAGCCATGAATAGACAGATGTAATTAATGGTGCTGAGAATTCAAACTCAGGGGTGGAATTAACTGCGAAGACACTCAGAGGAACTCGGTAGAGGAAGGAATACTTTACAACTTACTCATGGAGTTACTCCATGAATGCACACATTTACCCAAAACAACTTACGACCAGGTGTGGTGATGTGCTATCTGTAATTTCAACTACTCATAAGGCTGACTGGAGAGGGTTACTTGAGGCCAGTATTTTGAGACCATACTGAGCAACAAAGACAGACACCCTACCTCAATACAAAAAATAATCAAATAATAAGGACTATGGATATAATTCAGTGATATGGTGCTTGTCCAGCATTTGAAAGGCATGGAGATCTAGACCAAGTATGCACGCACAAGTACAAGCACAAGCACACACACATACACACACACACACACACACACACACACACACACACACACACACACACGTGCACGCATGCATGTGCACACAAAAAAAATAATAAGTAATTTTTATGAAAATGTGGAATACATACACAATGGGGTATCTTCAGCCAAAGGAAGGAAATTAAGTCATTTGCAGAGAACTGGATGGAAGTAGAGAACATCATGTTAAACAAAATAAGCCACACTTAGAGGAGTCTCATAAGTTTTTTCTCATATACAGAACTTAGGGGGTTGGAAGAAAATGAGAAGGAAGGGGACTAGCAGAGACATGGAGGGGTAAAGGGGGGAACAGGAAGGAGAGAGGGTAACACAGGAGGGAGAGTTCATCAAACTACATTCTATGCATGTATGATTATAATCCACTACTTCATATAAGGCACAATAATCCTAGCATGGGGAAAGACTTAAGTAGACATGTCTCCAGAGACGTACAAAAGCTAGTTGGTACAGGAGTGGGCACTCAATATCATCAGTCGTTGTGAAAATGTCAAGGGACCCTTCCTGGAATAAGCACTAGGACACCAATGAGAGTGGATGAGAGGCGATGTCACCAGTGGACTGACCCCAAGACAGCTCCTGAAAGGTTTTGATGCTGGGTCTGGTTTGTATTCTCATTTTACACTCTAAAACCCCAAGGTGGGGTGGGAAGTAAGATTTTACAGAATCGTGTGTGGCTGTCAGCTGGTAATTAAGGGAAATGGCCATTGTTTCGGCTATTCCTCCAGGCCATTCCTTTTCAGGTAGCCTGTGAAGGCATGCTCAGCAAATAGGCAGTACAGGCAGTGCCTGAAGGAAGTCAATAAATTGGGACCCAACAATTGGCCTCTTCTACCTTATTCTACTTCAAAAACACAAATCAGACTCAAATGAGACCCCAGTCCACACCTAACAAGGTTTCTTCGACACCTCAAACAATTCAATGACAAACATTGGTGGGATGTGGAAAAGGTGCACTCCTTGGGCATGACTTAAGGGAATCTGAAACGTGAGCCCCTGTGGGAAACACTACTGAGCTCCTAACAGCTGAACACAGACAGCCACCTGGCACTCCCACTGTGGAAAACACGCTCACAATTGCACTAGAGCTTCATGTGCAAGCTGGGTAGTTACAGACTCCTGGTCACGCGTCCATCACCAGGTGAATAGAGAAGCATACACACGTTTCAAGAAGAATCAGCTGTACAAAGACAGAGTTCTCAGAGCCTGCTGAGATGGCTCACTACGTAAAAGTGCCTATCTGCAAGCCTGGTGCCCTGGATTTGATCCCCAGGACCCACATGCTGAAACTAAAGAGCAATGTGGCAGCCCCACCCACCCACTCCTCTACCAAACAGATGCAATTAAAAAAAAAACACAAGACAAAGTTCAGATACAAACCGCAAGTTGAATATATCTAAAAATACCTGAATGAAATAAATCAGAAACAAAATGGGATTCATTGTATAATTACAAGTAAATAAAAGCTCAAGAATGGGGCCGGGCGGTGATGGCGCACACCTTTAATCCCAGCATTTGGGAGGCAGAGCCAGGCGGATCTCTGTGAGTTCTAGGCCAGCCTGGTCTACAGAGCGAGATCTAGGACAGGCACCAAAACTACACAGAGAAACCCTGTCTCGAAAAACCAAAAAAAAAAAAAAAAGTTCAAGAATATACAAAGCCACATAAGGAAAGCAAATTCTAGGTTTATAGGGCCTGAGGTAGGGCAGCCGTAAGGTATCATTGTTTATTGGCAACAGAAAGCCTGTTGAGATGACAAATTTTAGAAATAGTAGAGACAGGGAGACAACATTCTAATGTAATTAATACCATTGATTTGTATATTTGAGTTGATTTAAATACATTTCATGTTACATATGCTATATAACTTCTTCTACAGATGATAGGGAAGACTTATAAACACACACCCATCTTCAGACCCCTCATGAATGATATCATTAGCTGACCAAGTCCATAAAGCCAAGCTGGTCCCCTTCTCTCTTCATATGTATTTTTTAAGCTTTATTTGAAGATGATATGATTTTACATATAAAAGACCCCACAAACTCCATCTTGACACTAAAAACACATATATCCAGATTTTTCTTTGAAACCCTAGGGGCACAAAGCTCCTCTGATACCGCTCATCTCTCTAGTTCTCCAGCTCTGGACCAGTGATCTCCCTAGACTTTCCTCACATAGACTGGAGCCCAGTAATGAAGGAACACCACAGTGAAGATGGTCAGGATGACCAGGCCTGCAGCCTGGAAGTCAGAGCCCATCTATGCCAGGCAGGGTTCAGGGCAGCTCAGAGAATGGGTGCCTGGCCAGCATTCCTGCTGCAGCCCTTGACACCAGAAGGGGGTCTTCTCTTGACATTGAGGGGATGAATTAGGACACAAATTAACGTTCAGCAAGACATGAACTTGGCTTTAGATGAAGAGGTGGATTCACAGCCTGGTTCCCATACTTTGACCTAACAAACCACAAGTCCCTCAAAGGTGGCTACTCTGCTCTTCCTTTTCTTTCTCTGAGCTGTGTACTCCATTACCTTCAAGTATCACCCACAGGGAGAGATTACAGGAAAGTCACCTGAGCAGAGGACCAAGGTTGCCCATAAGGTCACAGAGGGCATGAGCAAACCTGAGACTCAGCTCAGCCAATACACAGAGAGGGTCTCTCTGCACCTTCTACTGAGGATAGTAGAGCCCAGCTCTCCCAACCTTCCCACCACCATGCTCTCCCATTCCTAGTATATCCAGGTCACCTTCTCTTGCATTTTCAGGACATGAATCTTTTTCTGTTCCTCAATTTCTGTCCAGGAACATAGACCAATCTGATGACAGATAAAGGAATGATCTCCCAAACCAGTCATGATTCAGACAGCCCATTTGTCTGCCCTAGAGCCATCCCCTAAGACCTTCCTGCTGAGAGTAAGTCCTACTGTCCCAGAGCACTAGATGACACTGAGAAGACCAGGTAACCTGTTGTGTTTCTGTGTCACAAAAGGAAACACACCCTTAGTTTGGGGCTCCAAGGCTTCCTTCTGTGATGAGGACAGACCCCAGGCCAAGGACACAGCAGAGATCAGTGCTGGGGTGGGCAGTTGACAAGGACTCCCATCAGTCTGTAGGGGATGGGGAACTGAGAGGAAAGGAAGAAAGGAAGCAGGTCTAAATGGGTAGGGAACAGGGGAGAGTCCTAGCAACAGGCCCTGTCACCAGCCCATGTGACCCTGAAAGGTCCAGCCCCATAATGAGCTCAGTTCAGAGAGACAAAGGACAAAAGAACTGACATCGGACCATCAGGCTTTGGAAGAAGTTCTGAAGCCTGAGCTCTTTTCCATAGAGGCAAGACTAAGCAGACAACAGACTATGGAGCCCCCCTCAGCCCTTCTCCCAACACGTGTCCCCTGGCAGGGGCTCCTGCTTGCAGGTGAGGGGAACAACCTTGGGAGTGAGCAGGAACATGAATAGACTGGCTGTGCCATGTCTAGCACAGCTCCAGGGATGGACCAGACTGGGATGGAGAGGGAATGAAGAAAAGACAGATGGACACACAGACACACAGGAAAGCTGGGATTGGATGGACTGGGATCTCTGATGGAGAAACCCCAGCACTCAGGAGCACAGTGTGTTTATTATATAGAGTTGAACAGAGAAGAGGGGCTATTGCATACAGCTGAACAAGGAGGCGGGGTTTGTGGAGAACAGTTGGGTCAAAGCAACAGTAATCTAGGAGCAGTCTCTTTAGGGAAGCAATCTTCAGGCCATAAATATCCATGGGGGAGAGAGAGCTATGTGGACATTTTCTACATACAATGTCAATATTCCCACTTAGTCCCCCTGAGGAAGGATTTGCCACCCTTCTGAGCATGGTGGTGGGAAGGTTGGTAGAGCTGGGCTCTACTATCCTCAGTAGAAGGTACAGAGAGATCCTCTCTGTGTATTGGCTGAGCTGAGTCTCAGGTTTGCTCATGCCCTCTGTGACCTTATGGGCAACCTCGGTCCTCTGCTCAGGTGACTTTTCTGTCCCTGGATAAGGGACAAATGGCTTCTTTTTAGTCCCCAAGGAGAAAGGACAAATAGAGGGACAAGAGGCTCAGCAACAGGAAGTGCTCAAGACTGGAACTGGTGAGGAGAGGAAAGACTCCACTGTCTCTATTCCAGATTAATCCCCAGTGGCCTCTATATTCTCAAGACTGACTCTTACAAAGTGTCAACGCTGTAGAGGGTAAAAGTCCTTGTGTACACAGATGAGCACTGGAGGAGCTGGAAAAAGTTAAACAGGCATGCTTATCTCTTCAAAGGAAGGAGACATTTACCTGTCTTCCTCCTGGAATGCTGGGAAAAAATATAGTTTGTGACCTGGTGATCTTTGCTATCTCTAAGGCCAGGCTTCAACCAAATCCCCCAGAATATTGTATTTGTTTATACCAGACTTTTCTCCCTAAGTCTTGAGCATTGTTTCTCAATCCAGAAGTCTATCCTTGTGAGAGATGTCACTTGTATTTTACTGCAGCCGAAGTGACTTCTGAGTTATCTTAGGGTGAGGACAATGTTGACTCCCACAGGCATTATGTTTACATCAGTCAGCCTCCCTAGACCTTCGTATCTTGAGCATCTTTTCTGAGTCAACAGAACCCATCCTTATGGAAGAAGCCATATGTACTTTGTAAATGATCTCAACGTAAACATGCCTTAAGTTCGTTGTACACTTGGGACTGAGTTAATTGTCATCAGGAAAGTTTCTTCCCACAGTAGTACTGTGCTTAAATATGGCTAAAATAAACCATCTGGTGCCAGACTACAGAAGTTTGGCCCAGCACCAGCTAACTAAGTCAGGCTGAACCGAGTTTCAATCTTAACTCACCTGGATTGTTTCCCTGCCAGCTGTGATGCTTGCAGGGATGCCCACACAAGGTAACTAAAAAAAAAAATACCTGGCCCAGTAAATACTGTCCATGGTTACAAAGTTAAACTCTCAACATACAGGGTCCTGGGAACATTTCTTCATTCCTACATAGGTATCTGAGCCTATTATTGGCACTGGGGTGACAGCTGGATCAAATTAATCCCCATCCTTATAGAGGCATAATTCTAGGCAGGAAGACAAACCAGCAAAGGCATTGAGAAAGTGAGCTCCATGAATGGCAAAAGTCATGGGCAGACAGAGTAGGGAAAGGTCAGAATGTAAAGACTCAGAGCAGCATCCCACAAGGCAGAGTCCTGAAAACCTGACCAGGGTGACGAGGGCATGAAATTGGACAGACACACAGACACATGTACAGAAAAACTGGCATCAGGTGGGCCATGTGCTCTCATGGAGACACACCAACAGAGGCCTAGAGTTTATGTTATACATCTGAGTTGAGGAGGCAAGTTTATCATGTATAGCAGGACAAGGAGGCAGGTGGGTTGGTTTATCTCAGCAGGAGAAAGAGTCTCAGGCTGTAGATATCCAGGAGGAGGAAGCCATGGTGATAGTGTCTACATACATACACTGGCTTTAGCTTAAGGTTAATCATTTGGAACATCTATATATGGACCAAAAGATTTTGCCATCCCTGAGCCTACCCCCAGAAAGGTATTGCCATTCTCATGGGTCTGGGGCACTGGGGTCCTTGACATGGCTGCACTCATGTCAATAATACATATTTGCTGAAGGACTTGATCCACTCCCCACCATCTTGGGTCAGTATAAGAGGTGAGTATTCATCTTAGGACAGAGAAGAGTGAATCAGTGAAGACACCTAGGAAAAAAGTTCTACTGTACCGAAGAGGGAGAAGGTGAAGGAGCTGAGGGAATAGAGATCATGCTGTTGACCTCAACAGTGGCAGGGGTGAAGGGAAACACATACACACACACATACACACACACACACACAGCACTCACATACATACACATTACACATACATAAACACACACCACACACACGCACTGCACACACATATACACATACCACACATACCACACACACCCTTACACATATCCCACACACACATACACATACCACACACATATATACACACCACACATATACTACACACACCACCCACCATACACAACACACAAACATGCATATACACACACCACACACACACATACACACGTGTGAGAACACATACCTGTTAAACAGAGACAACTATTCATGACACAGGTCTACATATTGATGTCTTTCTCTCTTCCTTATAGCCTCACTTTTAACCATATGGAACATGCCCACGGCTGCTGCACCTGCCATTGAGGCAGTACCACCTGCTGTCCTTGAAGGGAAGAACGTCCTTTTACTTGCTCACAATCTGCCAGACAACCTTTCAGCCTATCATTGGTTCAAAGGGAAAGAGCCACTGGACAAAGATCTAATTATAATGCATGAAATAAAATCTCAAGAAACCAAAGAAGGAAAACTACACAGTGGCAGAGAGACACTATACCCTAATGGATCCTTGATGTTACAGAATGTCACCTTGAAGCAATCTGGAATCTACAACCTGAATATCCGTTCTGCAGAGTCTGACCAAAAATCAATGCTTGTGGAAGTCTCCATATACCGTAAGTGATTTCTGCAATTCCCGATTCCCTGTGGTCTCTAGCAGCTGAGTGGGGCTCATTGCATTTCACACACACACACACACACACACACACACACACACACACACAGGCTTTCAGTCCCGACCATGCCTACGTCTTCTTTGCATCATGGTCACTTACTAGGCTTTAAGCACTTAGTGGAGGACACACATAGTGAAAACAGACTTGAAAAGAGGAGAGACTCCTTCCCCTGCATCCACACTTCAGAGAGCAGCTAGCGTGAAGGGGAAATCTGCCCACACCTAGTCCCTGTCCCAGGGACCATGGCTCTGAGGAAGATCCTGAGGACTCAGTCAAGGACTGGCTAAGGGACCTGGGTCCTCACACAGGTCTTTTTACCAAGATCAGGTGACTGTGAGCACCGTGAGGGTCATCTATAGACAAGATAGTAATCCCCACCACAGCCACCCCACTGAAAGGAAACAAAGTGTGGGGAAATGCAGCTGCTGATCTGGGCCACAGAGGGCATGAGCGATGGGCAGAGGGTGAGATGTTTGCCAACAGCACAGTCCTCGTCTATGACTGGGTTTCCTTTTCCTCTGAGGCACCTGTGGAGCTGCTGGGTTGGGTGCTTTCCTCAGACGGGAAGCTTGGGAGAGAGACTGTTGTGTGGGTTAGAGTACATACACGATCCTTTTTATTCTGCAACAGAATCACAAGAATCAGAAGAATGTCTTGGCCATCTCCAGCTAGCTTATTCTACTTAAAATCATGTATCTCTTTGATTGATGGGTGGGGATGGGGAGAGAGCTCCCTTTAGAGGATAAACAGCAGTTCTTTCTCCCTCTCCACTGAACCCAGGAACCAGGACAGGTCCCAAAGTATAGACAACTCCTAATAGTTGTGTGATAAAGAATCAGGGAAAGTCAGGCAAGATGGCATTAGCCTTCAGTCCCAGAACTTGGAAGGTCAGGATGGGAAGACTGCCAAGAGCTCTAGACCAGCTCAGACTCCATACTGAGGAGTGAGCAGTGAGTGAGTGAATGAACCTCCAAGCTTTTAAGATGCTGCAATGCGTATAGAGTCTAGAGCTCTGGACACACCCACTCTGTCCACACTGGAGGTAGATCCTGTGCCATTCCTGTGAACACCTGCTCCTAAGGCCACCCCAGGAGCCATTTCACAAGTTGACTTCTAGTTCAGAGTTTCTGGTTTGCTCCTGAGGTAGCTGTGGAGCTTGTGGTCTGTGGGGGCTCAGAAGTCACTGTGAGACCCCTCAATCTCTCTTCTAGTTACTCATCACTTTCCTCTCTTATTACAAGTGGGACTGTACCTCCCTTGTGTACCAGGCTTTTTTCTTTTGAGCCACCAACCAGCTCCCAAATCATGATACAGAGACTTTATATTAGTTATGAATGCTTGGCCTTATTTTAGCTCTTATTTTAATTTGTTTCTCTTTATCTATGTTTTGCCTCTGGGCTTTTTACCTTCTTTCTTTGTTATTTTCTTGCTGTCTCTATCTCTGGCTGGTGGATGCCTGGCGGCTGCCTGGCTTCTTATCCTGAGCATGTCCCTCATTCTCTCCTCCTTCTCTTATTCTTCTCTCTCTGGCCTACATTTCTCCTCCTATTTATTCTCTCTGCCCCACCTATTCATTCTCTGCCTAGCTATTGGCTGTTTAGCTCTTTATTAGACCAATCAGGTGCCTTAGGCAGGCAAGGTGAAATGGATGCAACACATCTTTCCATAATCAAACACACACCCTTACATCATTAAACAAATGCAGCAAAAAAACCAAATGTAACACACCTTTACACAGTTAAAACAATATTCTGCAGCATAAACAAATGTAACACATCTTTGTCTAGTTAAAATAATATTTCACAACACCCTTGCCCAGCTTGCTTCTCTCTTACCTTCCCACAGTAGTGGCTAACTGTCCAGTTCCCTTCCTACCAACACCTGCAGCCAGACCCTCCCTGTGGACACAGACAACAACAGAGCAGAAGCTTCTATGAGGCTCCACCATTAGCCAGAGGTCTAGATGCCTGTGTCTGACCCAAGCTCTTCTGTGGCTAGCATGTGATATAAGCCACACCCAGGGCAGAGAAATCGCTTCGATTCACTATAGTGATTTACAATATACTGATTATTTACAGAAAGACTGAGGCTGGAAGCCACAAAGCTCCTGGCCCCTTTCCAATATGTCACTACTTCCTAGAACCTTCAAGAGGGAGCTGTTTCAACCAGGGCGGGCTTGGGCTAACCCACTTCCATATGCAACTGTGTTCTAAGGATGACACTATTAAAACAAAGTGAGTTACACTGTGACACGCCAAAGCTGCTGTCAACTCAAATCCAGGAGTGTGTTGGCAATTTACCCCAGCTAGGAGAATTTGATACAGCTGGAGTTGTGGCTTATGGGGTCAAAAGTAAATGGATAAAGCCATTTCACATGCATTTACTGGATCCTGTCCACTTTGCCTTGTCACTCTCCAGAGCAGCTGCGGACATCCACTCTTTGAAACTTACTAATACAACATGGTATTTTTCTACATTTAATGTAACAGATGAGGCAGACTTCCCTGTGCATGGTTCTGTCCCTGTAGCAGGACTCACAGATCCCTCTACAGAAGAACCACGTGTCACCCTGAAGGACTTCAGACTTTGGCCTAAGACTTAACTACACTCTAGAGAGCCATTCCTCTTAAAAACAGGAGCACGATTCTGTCTGTCCCATTCACTCTGACACTCATGCTCAGGCTGAGCAGTGGAGAGCAACCCAGCTGGAGGGAGCCAAGCACCCCATGGCCTAAGGTCAGGCAGTGGGGACCAGGAGAGCCAGGTGGGGCTGCTGCCGCAGTTCCTGGGTCAGTCCACAAGCAAACACTGCAGCTCAGTTCACAGGTGAGAAAGTCAGTACTCCCCCCACACCCAGTGCAGGTGACCCCAGCGGCTGAGTCCCCAGAGCCTCAGGTACCTGTCTGTGGGGAGAAAGGTCCACCCTTATAGACAGAGCACTGGGTGTCCAGTACCACACAGATCATTCTTTTCTCTGTTGTCTACACAGCTCAGCTATCCAAACCCTCCATAAGAAGCAATGGGACCACAGCTGTGGAGGGGCAAGACACTGTTGAAATAACTTGTGACCCTCCCTTCCTGAAAACAACCTACACGTGGCGTCTAAACAGTAAGGAACTCCCAGGTGACAACAACATCAGCCTGTCCCGGGGTAACACAACTCTCACTTTACTCAAGGTCTCCAGACATTTAAAAGGACGCTATGAGTGTGAAGTCCAGAACCCACTGGGTGTCTTTCGGAGTAACCCATTCACTCTGGATGTTTTCTGTGAGTAACTTCTATTTCTCTCTCATATCAGCTTCTCAATACACATCCAATGCTCGGTCCATGACACTGATTCTTGCCCCTGAACCAGACTGCCAATGCCATCTGCTCCAAGCACATCCTGGCAGGCCAAGCCTTGGACAGGTGGCAGAGGGGTAGATCCATTCTGGAGAGGCTCGGGATCACTCCGAGTGATGGAAATCAGGGCAGGCCACATGTTTAAGGTTTTAATTTACAGGGTGTGGGTGATATCCTCCATGTGTGCTTTTCGAATGTTAGAGAGGGACCCGAGTCCTTTGAGACAATTGTTTTACAATGGATCTAATTGACAGCCCTGCTTCAGATAATTGTAAAGAAAGGCTGTCACCTGACTCAGGGATGCACTGACCTACAAACCAGGATCTTTCTTTATCTTTTCATGGCACCATGTGTCTTTCTCTTTCCTCCAGACGGCCCAGATAACCCCCAAATATTTCCCCCAGACAAATACTTTGAGGAAGGGAAAAACCTGTGGCTATCCTGCCAGGCGACCTCTCACCCCAAAGCACAGTATTTCTGGAATGTCAATGGAGAACACTGGAGTTCTAGACAAGATATCTTTATCCACAAGGTCAACATGAGTAATAGTGGATTATATACCTGCCATGTCAACAACCCAACAACTGGCCACAATGATTTCAAAGTCAAAGAAATTACAATAGTTGGTAAGTGGCTTCTTGTAACATCAGAACCAGTCTCTGGGGTACAGTCTGGTTTTCTGTAAAGAGCAGGGAGGAAGGAACTCCACAGCCCATGTCCACAGTTGCAAGCAAACCCCAGTCCTCCCCTAAGGTGTGCCTTGACCCAGGAGACACCTTAGTCCTCCCCCTAAGGTGTGCCTTGATCTAGAAGACACCCCAGCCCTCCCCCTAAGATGCCTTACCAGGAGACACCCCAGTCCTCCCCCTAAGGTGCCTTACTAGGAGACACTCTCTTCCCCTGAATACATTGACTTCTCTCTGTTGACTTGGAGTTCAGCATGGATTGGAGAAGAGGAGAGCTCTAAATTCCAGAAGCCTCAGGCAGTGTTAGTGCTGCTTGGGGAAGAGGTAGGGGCCTCTCTCTGTTACCCCTTCATCCTCCGTGTCTTCTCTTATCCTTTGCACTCTTCATAATCTACAAGAAAACACCCAGACTCAGAACATGCTCACACTGTTTTTATTTTTCCAGCTTTGGGATGGAAACACTTTGCCCAACAGAAAGATGGTAGATAGGAGTTCACGCTCTTCACAGCTCTGCTCCTGCCCTAGTGGCTGGCTCTGTTTTGACGCCATCTAGAGTAGGACAGGATGGGTGGAGAATTATCCTGAAAGGCCTATCCTGAATCTGGATAAAGTCTGAAGCAAATCAATGCCAGAACCTCCATGGGGGCAGGAGAATGATAATGAGAAAAAGTGAGCTTTGAGGTAGATGTCTCAAAGCCGGGTTCTAGCTCTGCCAATGTGTCATGGGAGGTTGTGGACTCTATAAATGTGGTACACCAGTAAATGTGGTTCACTGTGGGATCGCCACTAGGGAGGGAAAGTAAATATGGAAGAGTCCAATGAGATGGCTCATCCAATAAAGTGTTTGACATTGCAAAGAGGTGGAAACAAATTCAGAATCCCAGCACCCACATAAAGGCAGATAAGGCAGCAGACATTTGGAACCCCAAGGTTGGTGAGGGAAGAACAGACAGTATCCTCGACCTAGCCCATTGGCCCATTCTGAGACATGACCAACAGACTAGACTGGAGAATGCCCAGGGTAGAAGAAATCTAAGACACAAACTAAAAGCCCAGTAAAACTCTTCAATGGAATTCCACCAGAAAATGTGCCAGAGCCCGGGAAAGAAGTTGACAGTGGAGCAGAAAAAGCCATTTTGAATCACAAAGAGAAATGACCATAAATGGACCTCCCCATGATACATTATGCCTAAAATTCTAAGGCTATAAAACCAAAAAAAATTACAAAAAGCTGCAAGAGAAAAAAAATGTTCACTCAAAGGCAAGCCTGTCAGAGTATCAAGACCCCTCAGCAGAAACCCTGAAAGCCGGGAAAACATTGAATAATATGTTTCAAAACCTGAAAGTAAATAATCTACAGACAAGATCACTATATTCAGCAAAGTAGTCTTTTAAAATCAATGGAGAATGGCTAGGGAGATGGCTCAGGGGTTAAGATGACTTGCTGCTCTTGCAGGGGGCCTAGGTTCGGTTCCCAGCACCGACATGGTGGTTTATAACCACCTGTAATTCCAGTTCTAGAAGATCTGACGCCCTCTTCTGACCTCTGTTGGCATCAGGCACACACATGGTGCACATAAATACATGCAACACAGACATTCATACTCATTTTTTAAAATAACAGATAAAATAAAGACCATGGAGAAGTAAAACTCTTCCTAGACAAGCACAAACGACATCAATTCCTGACCACTTAGTGCTTCAGACAACACTAAGAGGAACCAGACACACCAGACAAGGAGCAAGTCTCAACCATGACAGCACTGGCAGGAACATCTTTCATGAGAATAATCAATGAGCAAAGGATAATTATGAAACATTCAGCCATGTCCAACTCAGCAAATGAGTAAATTCCTAATCTGAATAGAAAAGAAAGAGAAGAATAATTGACATTCTGATCAATAAGGAAAATAAAATAGCAAGTTTACAAATACCAGTCAAGTAACCTCACCCATAGCTCCAGGAAAATGGCCCCAATGCAATGCTTGAAGGAGGACTAGCTGACTGTATTTTTAAAATGCACACACACATGCACATACACATATGTGCACACAATACACACATATACACACCTTTGAGAACACACATGCACTCACACATATAAACTCGACAATCCAACTAATATCCATATGAATCATACCTCACTGACAAACACAGACACGTTTATACACATACATACACGCCCTTGCACACACACAGGTGCACACACATGGCAATGCAATACAACTATTACCTGTAAGAATCATACCTCACTGACAAACACAGACATGCACTGAAAGTGAATATATGGAAGTCAACATACCAAGAAGGAGCCAAAAACAAGGAGTTGCTATACCTATATAAAGTAGATTTCAAGGCAAAATTACCCTTAAGAGATAAGGTACCAACAAAGGGAATGATCCATCAAGAATTTTAAGTAAGCCAGGTGGTGGTGGCACACACCTTTAATCCCAGCACTCAGGAGGCAGAGGCAGGAGAGTCTCTGTGAGTTTGAGGCCAGCCTGGTCTACAGACAGAGTTCCAGGACAAACTCTAAAGATAACTGTCTCAAAAAACCAAACCAAAACAAAACAAAAAAACAGGATTGGACATAGACAGACACAATAATACAGAATAACTTCAATACTCCATTCTCAATAGAGGAAGACCAGAATGAAACCGCACTATGGAATAGACTTAATAAATATCGAGATGATATTCCACCCAGGAACATGGAATAAACGTAGTATCTCCTGTAATGCTCTCTAACATAGATCACATTTTAAGGCCATACACTATGTCTTAGTGAATATTAAAAACACTTCTCCTGCCTTCTCAGACCATTTGGAATAGTACTACAAATTAACAGTGAGAGAAAACACAGAAACTATACAAAATCATGGAGATCTAACAACTGAACACTTGAGTGATCGGTCTTATGGAAAAACCAGAGAGGGAACTCAAAAATTCCTAGAATCAAAAGAAAATTAAAATACTAATTTTCAGAAGGTTTGTGATACAGGAAAGATGATTCCAAGAGGAAGCGTGTAGCTATGAGTGCTCACATTATAAGTTCAGGCAGAGACATCGTGGCATATGCCATTGTCCAAGAAAAGAGGAAAAGGAAGGAAGATTAAGAGTTCAAAGTCATCATCAGATACATAACAGGTTCAAGGACAGCCTCAGCTACAAGTGACTCTGCTGCAACAAAACCAAACAGAAAAAAGAGAAAACTCAAATAACTTATTGATAGACTTGAAGATCATAGAAAATAATAACGAACACAAAACCAGTATATGGAATGACACTGTAAGGATTGACATAGAAATTAATGTAACACAGACTAGGACAAAAAAAATCAGTGAGAGGCTGGAGAGATGGCACAGGGTTTCAGAGCAATGGCTGCTCTTGCAGAGGACCCTCATTAGATTCCTGGCACCACCTGGTGGCTCACAACTGTCTATAACTCCAGTTCTAGGGAATCTGATGTCCCCTTCTGGTCTTCACGGCATCACAGACATACATGGAGGCAAAACATCCACTCACCGAAAAAATAAAAATGTTAAAAAAAATAAATAAAACGAGTTAGTTCTTTGAAAAGACAAATGAAATTAACAAATGCTTAGCCCAGCTCTCTCCATCCTAGCATGTGTTTACAGCTCAGCAAACAGGAGGAGGAGGCTAAACCAGAACTAGGTAGGTCTACCCATGGTGGCCTACATTCACCTAGAAGACCACATCCAAAAGATTCCTGAATTTCTCCACACTACCAGCTGGGGTCCAATGCATAAAACATGGATGCCCGGGAGCAACATTTCAGGTTCAACACACATTATACCCTGTGCCCAAAGGTTTGTAACCCTTTCAGAAGATGTGTTTGATTTAAGAATTCCCATAGTCATAACATCATCAACACTTTTTAAAACCTAAAGTGTCTTTTGAAACTCCTGGAAACTCTTAGCTGTGAACCCCTATAAAATACAAAAGGAACTTACACACTCCCAATATAAAATGATTCAATGTAGGCATTCCCATTTCCAAAAGGACAGATAGAAGTCAGCAGTTAAAAATAAAAATAGGGGCCAGATGGTGGTGGTGCACGCCTTTAATCCCAGCACTCAGGAGGCAGAGTCAGGTGGATCTCTGTGAGTTCGAGACCAGCCTGGTCTACAGAGTGAATTCCAGGAAAGGCACCAAAGTTACACAGAGAAACCATGTCTCAAAAAACCAAAAATAATAATAATAATAATAATAATAATAATAATAATAATAATAATTTAAAAAATAGAGTAAAACCCAGGTCTAATGGATCCCCAGGTAAGATGGCTGCCACCAAGCCTTGCTAACCTTAATGCAACCACCAGCACCCCCATAGAAGAGCGCCAAGTCCTGCAAGTTGTCCTAACACATGCACACCATAGCTCAGGAACACGGGGGGGGGGGGGTGGGGGGGGGGGGGGGGGGGGGGGGGGGGGGGGGGGGGGGGAGATTAAACTGATAAACAATTTTAAAAGAACTTTTTTTAAAAAGAGAAAGAAACCCAACACAGTATACATTAAATCCTATGGTGCCATCTGCCTCGGGAGCACCTGGTGGCATTATTGGAGCTCCAACAGCCCTGGTCACCCTGGAATCTTGAGTTCTGTATACATAGTACCTCAGGATGACTCCAAGTTCTGCCGGCTGCCAGAGACGTGTAGCCATCCTCACCAGAGCACGAGCTGTCACAGATGCTTCTTCTCTGCTCTTTGCTCCTCACTGTAAACCTGACTTCCAATGGAACCCATGCTGCTGAACGAATGCTGTGTTCCCTCCATTTCCTCCCCGCCACAGGTTAGTCCATTCTCTAGACACAGTTGGATTTCCCACTCATCCCACGAATCATTTCCAAAAGCTGGCCACACACACACACACACACACACAGTCAGGTTTGTGACAGCAGTGACCACACTCATACTCCCAGCTTTCTCTGTCATTTGTTCTCTCTGTGAACATGTGACAGGAGCAACATAAGGAAAGACTTCTTTTGACTCACAGATTCAGGAGATCTGTTCATCATGGAGGACTCTTCGTTTATTCTCTGTCTCTCTAATAAAATTCCATGACCCAAAGTCATTTGGGGAGGAAATGATTTATTTCAGCTTATACTTTAGAGTCCATCCCAGAGGGAACTCAGGGCAGGAACTCAAACAAGACAGGAACCTAGAGGCAGAAACAGAAGCAGATGCTATAAAGGAATGCTGCTTGCTATCTTGCTCCCCATGTTATCTTGCTCAGCCTCGTGTGTGTGTGTGTGTGTGTGTGTGTGTGTGTGTATGGCCCTGGCTGTCCTGGAACTCGCTCTGTAGACCAGGCTGGCCTTGAACTCACAGAGATCCACCTGACTCTGCCTCCCAAGTGCTGGGATTAAAGGTGTGAGCCACCAAGCTGCCAGGCCTCAGCCTGCTTTCTTATACTACAAAGGACCACTTACTAGGAGTGGCACTGCCCGTAGTGGGCTGGTTACTTCCACATCAAGCATTAATTTAAAAAAATACTCTATTTGCCAGTCTGATGGAAGCCTTTTCTCAATTGATGTTCCCTTTTCCCAGAAGACCCTAGCTTATGTCAGGTTGACAAAAATCTAACTGGCAAAAAGGGGAATGTATGTAAGGGATGTTTTGTTCAAAGTGGTGGGAGTTTGTACCTTAGCTTGTTCAAATCCTGGCAGGTCAGAAAGCAGAGAGAGCTAGACCTTCTGGGATTTCAAGGGGCTTTCAAAGGCCTGCCATGACTGACCTATATCTGCTAGCAGGAACACACCTATCCTAAAAATTCCACAACCTCCAAAACAGTATGACTAGATGGGGACCAAATATTTCAAACATGAGACTTGGGTAACATTTCAGATTTACATGACAACATTCAAGGGGAAAAAAACATGAAGACATTTAAAAATAGAAAAATGTTACATTATCATGATTGACGAAATTATTTAAAACAGGGCTGTGTCCCCAAAAGCAAGCTACAGATTTAGAGAAATCCCTCATCAAAATTTTTATTACTTTTTTTTCTACAGAAATAGTTTTTTTAAATCCAAAAATTTAGGTGAACTTGCAAGGATCCAGAATTCCTGGAGTAATCCTTAACAGAAAGAGCCATCCTGGAGCCATCACATAATTGGCTTTAATTTTCACTTCAGAGACGCTGTGATGTAACAGAGGGACAGGAACACAAAAGCAGACTTGACCATCAAAGGCATAGAATAGAGACCAATTTCCCAAGTAGAAGTCAACACAGCCTAAGGGGCTCATGAGAAGATTGGCAACCACAAGTGGTTTCTGAACCTGCAACCAACCACCAGACATCAGTGCAGACCCACGCAGGGAATGAACCAGACATGTTCCTACAGAGCAGTCACATGCTGCTTCACTGTAACCTTGGTTCCCAACATGCAGTGCGCACACTTTGTACTGCTCATGAGCACTGCATGGCCTCACCTCATGCTCAGCTTCCAGGCCACAACATGCAATACACTGCGGCTTTCATAGAGTTGGTACAACGTCTTGTAGCTGGCCATGGTAGCACAAGCCTGTAATTCTGACACATGGGAGGTGGCAGCAAGAGGATCCCGAGTTCAAGGTCAGCCTTGGCTGTATAGTGAGCTCATGAGAGCCTGTTTTCAAAAGAGATAGGATTTTGCTCTTACACAAATGTGTTTGTTCAGTTGTGGGAGACAAAGGTCTTTAATATTTCCTATTGTCATTTCTTGTCAGGTATGTATAAAAATTAGTGCATCTTTGGATTCAACTGTGTTTTCATGCTTGGTTTTTTAAATTGCTGTTTGAGGGGCTGGAGAGATGGCTCAGTGGTTAAGAGTACTTGATGCTCTTACAGAAGACCTGAGTTTCATTGCACATTGGCAGCTCACAACTAACTATACATCTCCAGGGGATTAATTCAGCTCTTCTGGCTTCCTTGAGTACTCATATACACAGACACAGACACACACACACATATATATACACACATATGTGTATATATATATATATATATATATATACACACAAATAAAAAGTAAAATCTTTTAAATAAAATAAAACACAAAATTGATGCATGAGTTGCTGGCTTCAGTTTCTTCTTTTTTCTTCTTTCTTTTTTTTGTGTGGAGGGTGGGCATGCTTTACATGCATGTATGTCTGTGCACCACTTACATGCCTGGTACCCACAGAGGCCAAAAGAGGGCACTCAACCCCCTGGGACTGGAGTTACCAATTGTGAGCCACCGTGTGTGTGCTGGGAACCAAACTCACATCCTCTGCAAGAGCAGCCTGTGCTCATAACCACTGAGCCATCTCTCCAGCCCTTTAAATTTTTTGAAAACCATTCATAAAATTTAAAAAATAGTTTAATTACTTTCACATGAAATTAAAAGCTTTTTTTAAAACGATTCCCAAAATGCCCATAAAAAGCTTCTACCGTTTTGTGCAAGGCACTTATGTGACATGGGGTACCCGTCAGCACATATGCTGAAACTGGAATGACAGAGAAGAGATTAGCATGCCCCAACCAACGATGAGACCCAAGTTTCTGAAGTGTTCCATAGTTTTTGATATCTTGTTTGGTATTAAGTTTTCAATAAAGCTTAAGTTTTGGACCAAAAAAAAAAAAATCGTGTCATCTATAAATAGGCAAGTGAGTTGAGACAATGCCTCTGATGAAGAAACAGGTGGCCATAGAAGCATGCATGGAAGACATACAGGACTTTAGCAGCAGGGAAATGCAATGCAAACGGCACTGGGATTCCATCTCACCCCAGTCAGAAAGGAAACAAATAGCAAATACTGGAGAAATTGCTGGAGACAAGCATCTTTACATACTGCGTGTGGAAATTTAAGTTACTCTATGGAACCTGTGGTATCAGTAGAGGGTCTTCAAAACTAAAACAGGACTACATATAATTGAATGTCTACTCCAAAAACCTCTAAGTCATCACACCACAGAGTTACCTGCACACCCATGTCCACTGTGGCATGGATAACAGACACCCATATACACACATTTATGTGTGTGTATGTATGTATGTATGTATGACTATGAGAAGTGAAGGGAGACAATTCGGCAGGATGGAGTGACCAGCAAGAAGGGAGGGGACAAATAAGAGTAATGTAGAATGAGTGTGAGCAAAGTATGACAGCTATTTCTCAGAAGTGTTGTAATGAAATGTACTATTTTGTATGGAAATTTAAAATTAATGAGCATTCAAAAGGAGTCAAGTATTCCCTGATGGTAAAATGTTGGACATTAGAGCCTAAAAGAGATTCTTGATATGAAAGCTAGAGACGTGCCCTGGGGTCAAGTCAGGGGACACAGTAGATGATTGGGGATACAAGTGGGTCCCTAACTCTTCCTATAGACTGTCTACTGAACTGAGACAGGACAGCTCCAGCCTTGGAGACAACTTCTGGGCCATCTTACACTGTACACTCTGGCCCCCACGAGCTGGCAGAAACCTTTTCAGAAAGACTCCTCTAGTTGTCTCTCTCTTCTAATTTTTCACAGAGAACTTGCTGAAGCCCCATATCCAAATCAGAAATAGAACTGTCCTAGAAAACCACTTGGTGGACCTGACCTGCGTATCAGAGAATACCGGCATTTCCATATTGTGGACGTTCAATAACGAGAGACTGAAGGCCACAGACAGGGTGATGTTCTCCTGGAATAATACAAGGCTCACCATACGCCCAATCACAAAGGAGGATGCTGGGGCATACCAGTGTGAGGTCTCCAACCCCTTCATTTCCAAGCTGAGTGACCCAGTCAGCCTGGACGTACTTTGTGAGTGACCCAAGTTCTCTTCCTCCCACATCTTACAAGGGACATCTTACACTTTTATTTTACTGTAATTGGGTAGAGCACAGTTCCATGGTGCATGTGTGGAGATCAGAAGACTTTATAGAATAGGTTCCTTCCTTCCACCTCTACCTGGGTTATAGGGATCCAACTCAGATAGTTTTTTTTTTTTTTCCATTAAGCTATTGCACCCTCTCTAGCATCTCCAAGGCCTCTTACTGGGGGATTCTTTATTAATACTGTGCAAAATAGATGACAGACACAGCAGGGAGACTATCACCTGAGACACCAATATAGTGAATCAATGTAGCACCTACCTACACTTAGGGGGCTGAGGCAGGAGGATAGAGAGTAAGGCCCTGTCTTCAAACTGTTTGAATGCAAATAAAACCAAAGTTGTAAACCCAATTACAAAGTGGTTAAGGGTTAAGCTCTGAGTCAGGCATGTGATCCTTGGTATCCATGGGTAACTGGCTCCAGGAAGCCCACAGACATAAGAATCTGTGGATGCTCTAGTTCCTTGCAAAAATGTCAGTGTTTCCACATAAGTTTGCATGCCATCCCACATACTGTACATCATGTTCAGATTCCAGCACGTCACACAGCGCCAGCACAAGGAAAAGTGTGGGAGTCCCCACTTTGAGCCTTACTCAAGGTTAGAGATTCTGAGCTTGCTTTACCCAACAGGGCTGTATAATGGGATGATTTGGCCATGGGCATGGCTACCAGGTGTTTTGAAGGGTCTACACTTGGCTGTACGTTGTGCTTTGATCTTTTGCCTCTCCCCTTGGCATTGTATAAAATGTTTAGTCCTTTGGAATAAACCTTAGGGCGGCTGGGTGTTGACCCAGGACCCTCCTGAAGCTACCCTATGTCTCTGTCTTTCTTGTCCTCTCCTTCTATCTTTCTATCTAATACTTCCTCATTCCTCTTTCCTCCCCACAAGAACCCTTCAATGGATCAGAGCTGGTCCCACACAAAGAGCACTAGTCTGTTAGTGAGAAATGATGCCAGGAAATGTCTGTACAGTTTTCAGTGCAGAGATAATTATTCTGGAATGTTTTGTTTTGTTGGAGTCTTTTTGTTTTGGGGGGACAATATCCCATGCAGCCCAGGCATCCTCACAGTATATAGATGATTATTGTCTTGAACTCTTGATCTTCCTGCCTCCACCTCCCAGGTGCTGCTCCTACAGTTGTGCACCCCACATCTGGATTCTTCTGAATATGTCTAACCTGTGTTTGGCTTGATCTAGGGCTCTGGATGGAATCTGTGAATGGAGAAGGCATCATTTCCTTTCCTGTGTCTGCCATTCACAATGTGACCTTGCACAAGATTCTTTTCTGTATGTTGTTTTTGTGGTAAAATATATATAAGGTATTTCCTGTTTTAGCTATTTTTCAGTGGTGTAAAGTACATTTGCAGTGCTGGGTAGCCATGGTCCAATCTCATAACTTTATCATTTAACATGCAAACCTTTAGAGCCATTCAACATTAGCTCTGGGGACAGACAGTGACAAGCATGTGTGTGAATCGCCATCACCCATGTATAACCAGGTATGGTAAGAAATGGCAAGGCAGAGATGGAGGATTCCTAGAGCTTACTAGCCAGCCAATCTAGCCAATTGGTAAACTACAGATTTTGAGAATAGGAAAACAAGTGGCCAAGTGGTTGTGGAAGATCTCAACATCAGCTTTTGGTTTCCACACAGATGTGCACACATGAACACATACAGTCACATATAAAAACAATAGTCCCCCATCTCTTCCTCCTTCAACCCCTTTACCTACCATTCTACAATTTATCCAACTACCCCGCTCACATGAGCAGAGTAACACATGAACAGTCCTTTTATATCTGCTTCCCTTCACGTAGCATAATACTTTCAGAGTTTACCCATTATGTACCATGTATCAGAATTTTACCATTTTGGTTTGTTTGAGACAGGAATCTGATTTTTTTTGTTTCAGTCTAGCCTTGAATTCTCAATACTCTTGCTCCAGCCTCTTGAATGATAGAAATAAAAGCATAAGCCACCATGCTCAGCTCATTTTTTTTAAATAATAGTATTCTATTTTATAATTATACCGATGTGTGGATGTGCCACATTTTCTTATTTTTTTATTCGTGTGTGTGTGTGTGTGTGTGTGTGTGTGACAGTTGTGAGGATGGTGTCTGTGGGGATTCTTGCACCCTTGCATCCAGCTCTCCTGGACATACACCCAGATACACAATAATCACTGGGTCTATTAGCAGTCTTGCTTTATTTGTTACTGGTTGGGTTTTTAGAATAAGTCTCACTTTGCATCCCAGGCAGTGGTGTGTGTGTGTGTGTGTGTGTGTGTGTGTGTGTGTGTGTGTGTGTGTGTGTGTGGTGCGAGTGGTGTGTGTGTGTATGTGTGGGGAGGGGTGTGGTGTGTGTGGATGTGTGAGGTGGGGTGTGTGTGGTGGATGTGTGTGTGTGTGGTGCATGTTTGGTGAGTGTGTGTATGCATGGTGTGTGTGTGGTATGTGTGTATGTATGTGTGGGGAGGGGTGTGGTGTGTCTGTATGTGTGGGGAGGGGTGTGGTGTGTGTGTGGTGTGTGTGTATGTGGTGTGTGTGTGTATATGTGGGGAGGGGTGTGGTGTGTGTATGTGTGGGGAGGGGTGTAGTGTGTGTATGGTGTGTGTGTGTCTGTGTGGTGTGTGTGTCTGTGTGGTGTGTGTGTGTGTGTGTGTGTGTGTGTGTGTGTGTATGTGTGGCGTAAGTGTGGGGTGGGTGGTGTCTCGGTTACTTATCTATTGCTGTAAGGACACAGTGACCAAGGCAACTAGAGAAGAAAGTTTATTTTGAGCTTACAGCTTCACTTAGAACCCATGGAAGTAACATGGTGGGAGTGATAGAATCCCCTCGGGTCTGATCTTTAACACAGGGTATCGCATGTTTCAGCACCCAGAAGGAGCTTTCATAGAGGTTCAGGACAAGAAACTATGATGATTGTTGAACACTCAGACCCTCAAGTGCTTGAATTGGGAAAGGTTTTTAAGCAAACAATGAGAGCTCTAATCAGAGCCTAGATCATGAGGATTCTGGCCTGAGGGTGGAGGGATCGGTCTGAGTACCAGGGAAATGGAGAAACTGAGCAATGTAGCCACCCATCTGTCCTGAGACAAAGGCTCTATAACCTGAGGGACTGTGGTAGAAATCAGTCTGGGATTGACTGGCTGATATGAGCTATTAGGACACTGTTACCATCACACAAAGTCCCCAGCAATATCAGGACGTGGACGATGACAGGACAGCTGTTTCTAAGAAAATTGGGAATGCAGAGGCAGCATTCAACAGGCAGTTTACTGAGCCATAGACAGCTGTGTTCAGGAAGAAGCTCCCGACAGGCAGAGGGCTTTAGTGGCTTTGCAGAATCCACAGTAGGACCTGCTCTTCATGAGGCAGTTATTCTGTCTCATCTGAAGGATTTGGACAAGCATGCAACTAAAGCCTGTAAAGTACAGCATCAGATGGCTGACAAGCCCTTGATGCCCAGAAGTCTTCCCTTTTCAGGATGCCTAATTTATTGTTTGGTTGCTGTTGACACCTCTGCTTTGCTGTCACAGTCAAGAAAGCACAGCCAAATCCAATGCCATGAAGCTTTTACCTTTTTCTAAAAGCTTTAGCGTTTTTAGTTCTGTAATTTAGATCTCTGATCTGTTTAGTGCTGTTTTTGCAGATGGTACTAGGGGAAAGCTATTTGGTGCTGATATTCAGTTTTCTTTTTTCTTCTTCTTTTTTTTTGGGGGGGGGTTGAGACAGGGTTTCTCTGTAACAGCTCTGGTTGTTGTAGAACTCACTCTGTAGACCAGGCTGGCTTTGAACTCACAGAGATCCGCCTGCCTCTGCCTCCCAAGTGCTGGGTTTCAAGGCGTGTGCCGCCGCCGCTGCTGCATTCAGACTCATGCCTCCCCTCACCCAGCCAACCTTCTTACAGAAAATGCACACAAAGAAACAGACAGGGATCACACATCATGCTGAGCGAGCTTCCCCAGGTGCCTGTGTACTCTGATTCTTTCTTCCTTCTTCTGAATCTTTCCACAACAGATCAACCATCACAGAGAAATTTCCCCATGTCAGTTCCGGTTGCTGCTGCCTTGGCTGTTGAAGTTCTGGCTGGGCTGGCTATCCTAGGAGGCCTGGCGTACTTCGTGTTTTTCAAGAAACTTAACCAGTATGGTGACATTTCCTCTTCTACTTCCTCCTTGCTTGCAAACGGAAAAGGTTTTCTTTATCTGTGTCTGTCTCTAGACTGGATTTCTTCTTGCCTTTCCTAAGTGCTGGCTTCTCTCTAATTCATGGGGTCCTTCAATCCCTGCCTTCCTGCTCCCTAAACCCCACTCTCTGCTGGTCATGGCCATTCCCATTCCCACAGGGCTTAGAACAAAAGACCCATTGTATTTCTCTGTCTTCCAGTCAGGAAAAAAGGCGCCACAAAGAAAAAGACAAGAAGCAAAAGGAACGGATGAAAGAAAAAGAGCGGAGGGAGAATGTAAAGGTCAGACAGAGAATCTACAGGGATGAGCCTCAGGGTCCCCTGGGACAAGCAGTGAGAAAAAAGAACCCACCAGTGGGAGACAAAGGGGTGTGGGTGTGAAGACAGAATGTGCAGAACACTGAAAAGAAGAGACCATTGGGATCCGAGATGTCCCACTTAACCAAAGTACCATCCCCAGCACCAGTTAGAAAACAGCAAATATGATGGGGTGAAAGGATCAAAGGCTAGGAGGGGCTGGTTAGATTGGAAAAGGAGGCAGCACCAAGAAAGGCAGTGGCAGCCATGGTGTGAATGCACAGCAAGGACACCAAGTAGCTCCCAAGAAACATCGGCTCCCAGGATCCTTCCCAACTGAGGAACCAGACAACAGTCACAGTGTCTCCCATTTCTTTAGGGTGAGGAGGAAGAGCATGCTCAGTGAGGACAACTGGACCCGTCCACCCACAGTAAGTAAAGGCACTGACCCTCGGGAATCAAAGGTCCCACCACCTGCCCGTCCTTCCATGGCATCCTGGACACCAGCCACTGTCTCCTGTCTGACTTACAGAGCAGCTCTTCTCTTCCCAGACTCTGGCTGGCATTTTGTTTAGGCTGCCAAGCAGCTCCCAAATAAAGACACGGAGACTTATTATTAATTATGAATGCTCAGCCTTAGCTGAGGCTTGTCCCCACTAGCTCCTTTACCTTAATTTAAACTGTTTCTATTCATCTATGTTTTGCCTCAGGCCTTTTTACCTTTCATTCTGTTTGTCCTACTTTCCTGCTTCCTCTCTGTCTGTCTGTCTGTCTGGCCCCTGGTGTCTCCCTGGCTTCTCTTTCTCTTTCTCTTTCTTTCCTGAGCCTAAATTCCTCCTACTACTACAAATCACAAGTCTTAGATGAGCTTTGTACTTCCATGATCGGTGACTCTTCTCTTGCTTCCCCAGGTCACGTGACAACTCTCCTAATGAGGTAATCACTGCCACTTTCACTGCCTGCTTCCTCTCAGATGTCTCTGGAGAGGTGGGGATGCTCAGAGCCACAACTGTGTGTCCTTAGTTCCTCGTGCAGCAGACGAGGAGCTGCACCTCTCCACCCTTTAGGCTGCTCGCCTGCATTCTGCCCACTACAAAAGAGGTTACAGGTGTGGGTGAGTTCCCAGCACAGACCCAAAGGAGGAAGGGCCACACCCCTCTCCCTTGTCTCTCCTCATCTGAACCTGCTCTGGCCTTCAAAGGAAAGACTCCATTCCAACCAGTCAGACGTACAGGCTCTGGGATCTCACTCTGAGCCCTCCTCTGCCCATCTTGTAGCAGCCACATGGCAGTGGAGTAGATGAAAGGCTCCAAACACGACTTTCTTCAATCCTTGCCTCTAAAAACATCTTTTTCCCCTTCTGTTCTTCCAACCCTTTCAAGAATTTGTAATCTAGTACCCCAAACCATTTCCTTTCTGTTTAAAATATGTCAAGTAGCTTTTGTTCTTGCCCTCCTTATATGATAGTTAAAAAAATAAAACCCTTGTAGTCTGGCAGATGGATTCAGACAAGAGACATCCTGTCATGTAGAAGACTGGCAGGTTTCTTAGAGAATGATGGGAGGCATGCTCAAAAGTAAGGATGGACATTGGCCAAAGGGCCACTGCAGATGAAAGGCCCTCAAGGAGCAAGAGTGGACAATGGCCAGGGATCACGCACAGCATGTTAAAGTAGGCCGGGTGCTGTCTTCTAAAGTCTCTGGCACAGGAGGCCTTCATGAAATGTTTTTCTGTGCAGGACAAACAGACCATGTGGGTTGACTCTAAAGGAGGGGACTATTGTGTGTCTCTCTTCTTTGACAGAAGGCTCCTTCCACATAGTAACTTATATTCTTCTTAACTATTGAGAGAGGTGGTCAGTGTTTACAAAGTCGTCTTTCCCCTGTGATCTGATGGCCAGTTGTCTGAGATGTACGCTGTTGGTACCTTCCTCCTTAGGGTGGTCTGTGTACAGCCAGGGAGGATGTGCATATACCATGGCCACTGTGCTGTTTTCCTCCTGAGCCTCCCACTCAGATGCCATCTAGCAGTCAACTCATAACTCATAACAAGCCATTAGCTGGGTGTAGGTACAGACTCCTTCCCACAGAATGACGTACAAAACTGTTCTCATAACAGACTGGAAAGTGCCTCACCACAACTAGCTAACACTGGTTCCTTTATTTTATAATAATTTCACAGAGTTTTTCTCATGTTAGCATTTCAATAGAGTACCCACATACATAAAAGTCCTTAAATCAGAGGGAACACACCCACGCTGAGTACACGAATCATGACCTCTCCCTCCCCAACACACTTCACTGCCACTTCCCTACAAGGAGCGGTGGCAGTCAGGACAGTGCAAATCCTCCAACACATCTGGCTTTTGTTCAGCACTGTTCTGTAGCCCATCTGGATGTCTCTGTTGATTCTGGCCCTGTTCCCATTGCCATCTCACCCTGTTCCATGGTATCAACCTGTCTCCTCAGTGATCACACATCAGGCTGTCAGACAGGGAGTGACAGGAGTCCTCTCCCACAGTGCACAGAGGCCACAGCACAGTGGTGCCAGATCACCAGCAAGGTGAGGCTCTGACCTGTGGAACTGATGTCACGCATCAACACTCATACTTTCAGGTGGATGAAGTGGCATATTCTATCGTGAACGTCAACGCCCAGCAACCCAAACCACCAACTTCAACCTCCATGCTACAACAGTCACACAAACGGTTTTCTGTAAAAAAAAAAAAAAAAAAAAGAATCAACGGGATCTGTCCTGACTTCACTGTATCCTTCCCGACTCTCACTCTTTACCTATGGGATCAGGGAGGTGGGGGCTGTTCCCTTGTAGCATACACAGTGCCTCCAAATTGTTGCCATGTCCTTCAGTGTCAGCAGATGCTAGGCATGTAGGGGACTGGGTGTCCGGTCACTACAGTAGCAGGGATGGTGTTGGTGGTGAATGAATTTGCCTGTTAGAGCAGGGTAGGAAGAACAGTTCACTGAACGGTGAAACAGCTGGGGAGTCACTAGAGGAACACTTGTGACAAAAAGCAACAGGCTAGGAGTGGAGGGTATCCTCATGGTGTGTAGGGTGGCATTGTATGCAGACTCCTGGCACATCATTAGCACCACATGGAAGAATGAAATGCAGATGGGACAGTGGACAGTTTTGCTCAGTTGAGGATACTTAAGCCGCATTCACTACAGTGTCCTCTCTCTGCCCTAACTTCTGTAAAAAAGAAACAAACATGGGGCTGGAGAGATGGCTCAGAGGTTAAGAGCACTGGCTGCTCTTCCAGAGGTCCTGAGTTCAATTCCTAGCAACCACATGGTGGCTCACAACCATCTGTAATGAGATCTTCTGTATACATAATAAATAAATAAATCTTTAAAAAAAAAAAGAAACAAACACAAGAAAGACAAGCTCTCTACTGTGAGTGTGAGTCTACAATCCTCATTTCCCCAAGAGTTCAGCTGGCCCCCCAGGAAACTGACAAGTACCCTCTAATGGGGTGACAGGACATCCATTAGTTAAGGACCAAATCTTCTCTCCTCATCCAGGAAATCATATAGTCTGACTATGGACTACCCACTAATTACACACTATGAGACCCCCGCCCCTGGCTGGAATCTTGTAAGAAGGGACTTCCACTTTGCTTCATGGGCCTGATCTCTCCTCAGAGCCCACACAGTGCCGCATCCCCATAGCGTTGAGAACTGTTAGCCACGGCCACAATATCTTGGTTGAACAAGGACAATTCCTGAAACTGAAGTGCCTGAGTTCTAGAACTAAGATTACTTATCTTCTTCTTGCCCTCCCCACCTTACCTGGTGGACCCAGGCTGTCCTGGGACTCTAGAGCAAGCTGGCCTCAAACTCACAGAGATCCACCTGCCTATGCCTCCCGAGTGCTGGGATTAAAGGCGTGTGCCACCACTTCCAGGCTCCATATGACATTCTTTAACTCACCACTCTTAGGTTCCCCCTAGCAACAGCTATGGACCAAAAAAGGAAACTTTTCAACTCTTCTCCCTCTTCTTTTCTGCACTGTAACTACCCAAGCCTGTAAGCAAGCACCAGCCCCTGGTTCTTACCCCAGAGACCCTTCTGCACACTTTTCTCCCCAACTATCGTCGATGTGCTCATTGCCGGGTCTGTCTTTCCTATGTGCCAGCTTTGCATTTGGTGGCCCAAATAGGAAGCTGGCGTGTAGACTCTCGGATCAGATCTCTCCTCCGCCTCTCCCTCCCTCCCTTCCCCCTTCCCAGCAGGTACCAGCCATCTCCATTTCCTCCTTGCATCCATGCTACCTTCCCTGGTTTGGGTGAGCTTTGAGATGTGTTCCCCTTCTTCCTTTCTAACAGCTCTCAGGAACCTGGGTGCCAGGTGGACAGTCCCTCCTCTCACCGACCAGACTAAATGGAGCCACTGGGTCTGGGAACACCATTCCTTTTGGCCTACTTTCAGTCAGGAAAAGTCTCCTTGGTCACCCCTCCTCATAGGCATTGGCTTGCAATCCTCTGAAACTGTTAGTAGACATTCTCCTTTGGTATGTTTCATCCAAAATTTAATCATTAAACCACAGTGCCTCATGTTATGTTGTGACATGGCCTAGATGAAATATCTGCCCAAAATAGGACATTGAACTTTTATTACTGTGCTACAAAATAATTAATTAAATAAATTTAATTAAAATTAAAGGGGGTATATCTTAGGGTTTCTATTGCTGTGAAAAGACACCATGACCACAGCAACTCTTTTTGGTTTTCCGAGACAGGGTTTCTCTGTAGTTTTGGTGCCTGTCCTGGATCTCACTCTGTAGACCAGGCTGGCCTCAAACTCACAGAGATCTGCCCGCCTCTGCCTCCTGAGTGCTGGGATTAAAGGCATGTGTCACCACTGCCCAGCTACAGCAACTCTTATAAGAAAACATTTAATTGGGGTGGCTTACCTAGAGTTTCAGAGATTCAGTCCATTATCATGATGGGGAGCATGGCAGAGTGCAGGCAGATGTGGTGCTGGAGCTGAGAGTGCTACATCTTGGCTTGCAGACAACAGGAAATCGACTGAGGCACTGGGTGGTATCCTGAGCATAGGAAACCTCAAAGCTCACCCACACAGTGACACACTTCCTCCAACAAGGCCATACCCACTCCAACAAAGCCACACCTCCTAATAGTGCCACTCCCTGTGAGCTTATGCGGGTCAATTACATGCCAACTACCACAGGGAGGCAAGGTACCTTGCTTTCAATACTTTATCTCCCATCCTAGTACACATCTCTCTGCTCTCCTGACTCCACCCTTCAGGTTCTCCTCCTCCATAAAAGCCCTCCTACTAGCCTCTGGTTACAACAACTTTGGCTCCTCTAGAAAAGCTCCTCTGTCTGGGGAGCCACTGCACCTCCCCCACCCATCATTCTAGCCAAAGCCCCTGCTCTGACCAGATGATGAAGGCTCCAGCTTCTCCAGATGTCACACTCAGGTTCCTTCCTCACCCTGTGACTTTCTCCTCTCACCCCCCCTACCCCTACACCGTGAGAACTTTTCTATCAAAGCTTCCATTTCTCACCGGGCGGTAGTGACGCATGCCTTTAATCCCAGCACTCGGGAGGCAGAGGCAGGCAGATCTTTGTGAGTTCGAGGCCAGCCTGGTCTACAGAACGAGATCCAGGAAAGGCAGAAAGCTACACAGAGAAACCCTGTCTCAAAAAACCAAAAAAAAACACACACTAAGCCGGGCGGTGGTGGCGCACGCCTTTAATCCCAGCACTCGGGAGGCAGAGGCAGGCGGATCTCTGTGAGTTCGAGGCCAGCCTGGGCTACCAAGTGAGTTCCAGGAAAGGCACAAAGCTACTCAGAGAAACCCTGTCTCGAAAAAACAAAAAAAAAAAAAAAAAAAAAAAAAAAAAAAAAAAAAAAAACCAAAAAAAAAAAAAAAAGCTTCCATTTCTCTCCACTTCCCACAGGGGCATCCCACCCAGATCTGCCTCTGGCACTGAACCCAACACAGCTTTTCCCTCCAAAGGGATGAATGTCCTCCACTTATTGCCAACATAAACCCAGGGTTTATGGCCCACAACAGCT